TATAATATTCAGACGGTCGTTATTACAACTTTATAATGTGACGATGATGGTATATGGTCAGGGATAGTTGAAAATGCAAGATTTTACTTCAAAATGGGTATTACGATACGAGATACAAGATAAAATTATATCTAAGATGCAAATATTTTGTATAGTATGTGTATTGTGTATTGTAGCCGTTATCAGAAGCGAAGGGAAAACTAAATTTAGGCTAGGCGATTGGATTTAGTCGGGATATTCGGCATTCACTTATTCAAATAAAATGAAAAAGAAAAAAAAAATGATTTCTCTGCGCTCTATTGCAACCTTTTTTATTTTTTAAAAAGCCTACAAAAATATGTATAGTTTAGTCAAATCACATTATTACTACTTTATTTCAGTTCAGAAAACGACTAAAAATTAAAAAATGACCTCTTCAGTCTCCTAACTAGATCAATAATCCTACCGAGTTTTGGATTTGGGCAATTTATAGTAGAAAAGTTATTTACAGAAACAAAAAAAACATATTGTATTACCATTGCATTCCTCCTGTCACTCGGAATCTAAAAAGTTTTTAAACTTTATTATTACAATTATTTATTGGTTTTACAACGTGTCTGACAATCCGTTATTTTAGGTGTATTATATAACAAATTGAAAATTAATATTATCGGGTACTATTGTTCGGCGACCAAAAATGTCGATGACAATAATATCCGCGGGGATTTATCGCAAACGACAAAACCGCAAATACCGCGTGTACATACACCGCAATAAGCGCGGTCGATAATTCAAAAACGTGAAATGACCTACTCCAGATAAGGGCCGGGAGAATATTCGATAAGAGTAAATTCGCATTGTATATATTATTATATACATAAATCGTGTATTGGGTCGTCCTCTGTAGCGGAAATTGAACTACTCGCGTAAACCTCCCCAAGCGCGTATGATATTATATTATTATTATTTGAGTTTATTGGACTCTAGGACTTCCGTCTTACAACCAATCCTCCAGCTATCTTCGTCTATAGTCAAAATCTCCCGAGCTTTCACGTCCTTTTATACTATACGTCATCCGTTTAGGTTAGGTTTTGTTCTAGAGCATGCTAACCGTACTAGTAGGTATTTAGCTATCCATGCAAGTCCAGTCTATCGTTGTTATAGTTTTTTGACGATCACTATACTACCTCTAAAAAATATTTACACCAATTAAGACAAATTTAGATCTCGTTCAAAACCTAAACCTGATAGTGCTCTAAGAAAGTCAATTTTCTAAATGTAAACTTTAAATCTAAAACTTCTAAAAAGAAAAATATGACTTGTATTCGATAACATTGTATTCGTACCGATACTAAATTCAAATTTGAATAGCTTTTTTTTTTTTATCGTTATCACGATTCGGTTAAAAATGATATTTGCTCTAATAATAATATGAATAATTGGTATGCCTAATTTTATCCTCAGGTACTCACGAAGATAGACTTAAATGTATAATATAATATTACCTATATTGTATTTATTTATATGTATGCAATGTATATGATGTGTGTACTTGCAGTTGACCCGGAGCATCGCTATTATGATAAATATCGGTTGGGTATTGTACGTATAATGAATATACGAGAAAATACCAGTTTCCGTATTTGGCGAGACAGACCTGGTCATTATCGGACTACGTCGTCAGTTATACGTTTTTTTTCTTTCTTCCTATTTTTTTTTTTTCTTAATCCACCAAGTTTTTTTTCTTAACGTGGTTTCCGGCTTATCGTCACTTATGCACACGAACACCGTTCGCGTTCCTAACTTGCTGCTATCGCCACCGCCAATGCAACCCTGCAAAAATCGTGGGTAAAAACCCAATTTCCCACTATTCGCCTTAGTGATGTCGAAAATAATAGTTTAACAACGCTATGTGATTAGTACTTGTATACACTTGCCCGCTGAAAATACGTAAACATTTAGTAAATATAGACGCAAAATGTGCAATAGATATTATACTATGAAAATTATAATTTAGCAGTAATGACAATTATATGTTTACCAAGTATCACGATCGGTCCGCTATTTACCTATACATTTTTTTTTAGGGATGTAAACTTTAATGAAATCTAAAATGTAAGCTGTAGATTTAATGCAGTTCAGTGATTTACGTGCATTTTACAATTCAATGTTTAACTTGGCAACATTGTCAACGCGTCAAAATTTCCATAAAGCGATTTCGAGTAAGAGTATACGATTCTTGTCAATATTATTAAAAGAAGCAACCATTTTTGCGTAAATATTTAAATTTAAAAAATGTGTCGATGCATTTATTACGTTATGTTTAAACGAATGTTTAAATATTGATTACAGATATTCAAAATAAAAATTCTAGGGTCATGTTAAAATATACGTAAAGTCAACATCTTAGTACGTACGTTTTCATAACATCATTATTGACCTTATAATATTTTAATCGTATCTATATTATTATTCATCGCAAATGTCCTACACCGCGAGTCTATAAGTCGAATGGCGACTTTTTTTTTTCTTGTATTAGACGTTGGTAGTTTTATTTTTCGTTTGAGTATTTAATAGCTGGTAAAATAGCAGTTTTCTTTAAATCATATGCTGCAGTTTATTTATAGTAAACCGAGTAAATAAATTAATATATATTTATAAAATACACATAACCAAACTTGGATTCAAATTCAAGTTAACAAAAATATTTAAAACTACTGGGTTTTCAAACAATATTTCCCCCCAAATTTGAATTCAAACGTTATGAAACGTAAAACGTGACCATGAAATTAATTTCTATTTTCAGGAATGCATATCAATTGTACAAGGAAAACTCAAAAAACCATTACAAATTTCAAAATCATTAATCCTATAGTGAAAATTGCCTTGTTTTGGCGAGTTAATTCTCGGCAAACAGTTTTCTGAATTTGTTTGATGTGTTTGCTTCCTACTTAGTTGAATATATTCTTCAAGATGATAAATGAACAGTTTTTGTTGGAAAATGCTTACTTCACTGGTAAAATCGTATTTTAAACATGATAACGAGTAAACAAAACCAGTAAACACCGCTCGAAGTGTTTACCGAATCCGGTAGTTTGCCGAAAAGTGCATTCATGTTTTACTTAACAGTTGTACTAAACAATCTCACTAAAAAGTACTGTTTACTTAATGAACAGTTTACTAAAATTAACTCGCCAAAATACGTCTAAATAATAATAATTATATATTTCGATATAGACTCTCATCGTCTCAACTCATCATTGGCGGGATTTTTTTCTTTCATCTAAGATAGCTATTTTGTATTCTTATCCATGCGACGTAACGTATAGAATGGAGTACAAATAATAGCGTTGTTCTCGGGATACAATTCTGTATAAGCCGTACACGGGTTTTTTTTTTCAATCGTAAGGTTCCCGACACGAAACTCGTAAATTGCTTCGAATAATCAATGTATTGTTGGGTTTATTTGGCACATTATCGCTGCTGCCCATCTGCTGATACATTCGATTGATTTTCTTTTTTTACTTCACTATTTTTCTCTGTTATCATTAAATATGCAGTACATAGGTAGGGGATACATCCAGTTTTCCTGGGGTAATAAAATACGGAAAAATAATCAAAATCCTTACCAACTTGAAAACACAAAAATCTATAGTCTAAATTCCAAACCTGATATTGCTTCGAGGGAGTTAATAGACTAAGTGTAAACCTAATACATACATTTTTTAATGGTTGTAAAACCACGTCAGAGATATGTGCAGATAATGGTAGACGTAAGAGGCGGAATTTACGTCGGGCAGTTCATATTTTGAAATATTAAAAGTCTTGTCTATCATGCTCAAGAGTCGTAAATGTTTTTGGCATTCAATGAAACACTAAATTCAAATTATAATAATTGGTACTTTTCTTTTTTGATATTTGTAGCCTATCACCCCGAGATAATATTATACGCCCCATAGGTACATGATTAGTTTCTTACGATGGCGATCGATCCTAAAATTGTAATAATAATAGGTACTCGTAACTGTATATGTATAGTTTCTTCACTATTATTATCATCGTTTCGCGGGTACACAGTGCTCAATCCATCACATTGCGGACGCCGAACAGGAAGTGCGATTAATATTTCGCGTGCCGCCGCAGTGAAAGTCATTATCATCCGTTGGAACTAGAATTAGTTTTCAAATTCGTATATTACCTATATAAGTACATGGTATATATAATATATTATATTGTTTCAGAACCATTCTGTCTTAAATAGGCTAAATTTCGTAGGTCTACAGAGTGATTCTTTAATACACGATTCAGCGATTCTTTTAAAGGATTTTAAGTATAAATTGAATTTCCACTCCCTCCCTCCCACCACCCATCAATAATTTTGAATCGATGTGACTTTATTTTAACACTATTTTCAAATGTTTATTCCAATTCTGTTTAAAACTTTTGATTTTAAAATCACAATCTTCAATCACCCTTTTCAAAAAATGTTGATATGCGTAATACAATACATTTTCGAATTTATAGTTTATGAGTTAAGATCAGAGGAGTAGCTGGGATGACAATAAATTGTTCGTAATAATGGTATAATAGATGGCGATTCACGATAAAAGAATCGCCCTGTATAGTGATCGATTATTTCGCGTATATTCGATCATATTTCTGTATACAATACTATACCTCGGCGCAGTTAACACACAGTTTTGGAATAATTGAAGACTTTCACGATAATCTTCTCAGGCGATATCTTTCGTTTGGCGTTGCACGTTTTGAGTGACCAATTGTTTGATGGCGCGTTAAATCATATATACCTATAGGTAAGTACGACTTAAATTGTGTTCTATAATTTCGTAAATTCGTTCAACGTTTCGAATGACAATTTAATTTCAAGCTGTGTTTGAACGGTGTTTTTTGGGAAATCATCAGTAAATCCCGCGGTGTGATATACGGTTGGCAAAATGAAAAACGATTCCGATTCCTACGTCTTATTAAACGTGTTTTTGCAGTTCTCCCTATATCTTCATCTAAACCCATCGTGGTTTTTCAGCGACTGTATATTTTAGGTGAACACTCGGGGTACTAATACTTCCTTGGAACAATTTCAAGTTTGGGACAGCGGATAGATTAGATTGTCTTTTTAGGTTGGCATGACCCTTTAACTTTTTTTTTTCTGCCGTGGTTCCTGGAGAAAATAGACCCGGTCCTCGATAACAATTGCATCGGAAAGTTGACGTTACAAATGTAAGATCTCGTATCATACAAGTCTTAAAAAGAAAATTCGCCTTTTCTTTCTGTTTATTCAGCTTTCGACTATAAACAATTATTAAACCCGACGATTGCATAAAAATATTACAGCACAACGGATGATATCTTAAAAATATTATCAAATTTGCAAGGACCGTACGTGGCCCAGTTTATCGGACCGAGATTTCTGGAGCGGACGAGAGAATAACGCAATTTCGTTATTAGAAAGTCACTATAGGTACACCTATATATAGTAGCGTTCCCTAAACATATTTTCTTCTGTTGACGACAACAACGGTGACACGGCGAAACCCCTTAAATTAGATTAGTAGTCGCGGGTACCTATATACGCACCTATTATACGTAGGTATATACAGGCCCATTGTGCACGTGCGCTTATCCTTTTGCCGACGTTGATTCGATTATCAGCAGCTATTATTATTATTATTATTATTATCACGGTAGTAGCATGTGGGTGTGATAATTTTCGACCGGATGTTGTAGATATAATGTCGTCTTTTCTCGGAGTCTGTTACAAGACGAGTCGGGTGAATTCGATTGTAATCGATTTTCGTACCGTACGCACGACGTCATAATAATAATCAAGATACGGGAATTTTACAATTTTTTTTACCTTAAGTAGAAATAAAATTTAGCAAAATATTGTTGTTATCTTATAAGAGTAATTTTTTTTTAAAACTTTTTTGATAGTTATTGAAAATACTATTAGCTAGATTAGCTAAATGGGCTTACGGCACTCAGTATTCATTAAATACCTAATACGAATTTCCCTCAAGTCCATTTTATCAACGAAAGTTATCCGAGTTTACAATATACTTTATTAGACAACAAATGACAACTGTTAAACGTATACGAGGTAATATCTAATAACATATTGTTACCAAGACGATTAAATATTTAAATAAATAAACTCTTGTTTATCCGTAAAATAAATATGCAAAAAAAATGCAAAAAATTTTGTCAGGACTAGGACTTGACCTGAGTCTTCGCAGAACAGCTCGTGCCATTCCTAACGCGTTAGACCGCTCGTCCACATCCTGAACTGATAAGGCCGTTAATTTTAATATTGTTTAAATTATTGATAATTTATTACTTAAATACGTTTGAAAAATATCGAAAATGACGATAATATTGGTAAATAATTTTAATAGTATTAATTTATTACATTAAAATTTAACAATTTAAAGTCTAAATGATAAATTAATTTTTTTTTTTTTTTTTTTAGAAAATTATGTTTAATGAAACTGTCTGATAAATTAATTAAGTGACTACAGAAAAGACACAATCGACTTTTTTTAAAAATCAACATACTACACGTGTACAAGAACAAAGAAATTAATTTGAAAGCCAAGCAAAAGATACTAGTTGAAACACGGTACAAAAGACTGAACTAGTTGGATCACGTTATAAGGAATTATAACCAAATGAAAATAATACACTAACTAGACCCCTCTGTAAAACAAACCGAAGAGGAAAACCAATATAATTTTTTTTTTTTTTTTTGTAAAGTTGATATAAAATTTAGCAAAATATTCCTGTTATTTTCTACGAGTAATTTTTTTTTGACTTTTTCGATAGTTATTGAAAATTCTATTAGCTAGATTATTTTTTTTGTTAGTATATTTTCTACTTTGTGATTATGTAAGCCAATGACAAAGACCCAGATTTCCTCCTCTCTCTCTATAATTGTATTTAATCTCGCTTTTATATTCTATATTATCTAACGAGTATTTGTTTATTTTTGTTATCTAATTATTGCGTCGATCATTGCTGGGCATAATATGAGACAATATAAATCCAAAAGTGTAGTTTTAAAAAGGTTCAAGAGTTCCAATATAAAATTTGAAAGTGTTTTTTTTTTTTATTATTATTTCGATAGAAAAAAAATGATTTTTAATACTTTTTGTTCTGCTTTTTTATGATTTTTTCCAAGTGTCCAAGTCTATTGTTTTCAAGGACTATAAGTTCAGAATTCTAAATTAATAATACATACTTAATATTCCTAAAATTACAAAGAACGCTGCGCCCATTTTAATGCGTCTGGTATATGCGAATTATTACATCTTAACATTTGGTGTCGTTCCCTGAAATTTGCTATCAACGATAATCTATAAATGTGTCCGTACGTCATTATGGCTCGTATGTATATTGTAGTGTAGGTTATATCTAATAGGTTTTTTTTCTTTTAAATATTTTGTTCAGAAAAAAAAATGTCCATGAACCAAACGACGATACCGATCCCGTAAGAATCATCGCCGTTATCCAAGAGATAAAATGTTTTCCGGAATAAAAAAATAAATGTATATTATACGAGTATATCGATCGTTTTAATCGTTTGCGATATTATTGGCGTGCGTACCGGACGCGATTCTGGTATAAAGTACAAGTTTATATTTTACTAACGGTTTTACTCACGTATCGGCATTACTCGGGTTTTGAAATTTAATCTGATTTACCCCGGTGCCTATACACGTTTACGGTCAAATGTTCAAAACACGTTTTCGATTCCGAAGAATTACTGCAAACGGCACAATAATTCCCCAACGGTGATAATATTATTGTGTATTTATACACTGAGAATACATAATATAACGTACATAATAAATTACGAAGATATATCTTTATAGATGGGCTATAATATTTACAAACTACCTACTATTAGGGTTGACTACAATATCGATGTTGTTCCCGGGGAAGAGGGAACGAATGGCATAAATCTAGGTTTTCGGGAAGCTGAACTCCCCCCCCCCCGTTTAAATATTTTTTTATTATATATAGTCGCTTAAACCCCAAATTGTGGATAGGTATCAAAGTTTCGATAGTTATTTACAGGATGATCAAATCAAGAAACACAGCGGATATTGTATTTTATTAACGGTTTTTAAAAGCGTTCGGGATATTAGTGTTTGGTCGACTGGAAAAGTCTTGTAACCAGTATGTAATTAAATTAAAAATTACGGGAGACTTTGCATGCCAATCACCACGAACTATTCATCGTCGTTGTTTATGTTTTTTTTTTTTCGTACGATGACGAAAGGGTTTTAAATTTAAAGCGCAGTAAAGAATGTGCTGGTTTTACTATTACATGTGTGATTTTTTTTTTGTATGTATCTATAAACAACTTTTCAACCAGAAATTTCGCTTCAACCAAAAACCGATAAGGAAACTTTATTTATTACATTTTTAATCTTACTAAATTTATTTTATTTTAGTTTACTTACGAACGTCAGGATATACACTAATATAGTTGCGAATACAATGTCCAAATGCAACATGTATATTGGCAACTATATTCAGCTTTAGGTCACGCTGATGTCGTCTATCGTAAGTGTTATCGCCATAACATAATGACGCATCGCAGAGTTTCTGCCCTTGTTTTCATACAACGAACTACCACTAGTGCGCGAACTCTTCGAATTCAGATGCCAATAATTGGGTTCAGACGGATATTTTTCATAAGATTTGTAAAAGGAGTAGTTTTATATTCGCACAAAATAATTTTGAAAATTCTGAAGTGAACTCTGAACGAAATAGATACACATTTAAGTTGTACCTTTTTGGTTGTATTCGTTTTACTATAACGCGTTTCGTCTCGGCGATTTTCCCGTAGTCTTTTGGCCCGGGTGTCGTCGCCCCAGCGGTGAAATCAGCGGCGGTGACACCGGTCGCGGTCCACTTGTCGAAGATTTTCAGTTTTTTCTCTCGGGCGCAAACAGTGACATCCATTGCTATGTACACCCCGTTATTTTACAGATCGCGTTCGTTCACTTCACGCCGCCACCGATTTCCGGTGAAATTTCGCGGTGTTGATTTTTTGTTTTTGTGTTTGTATTTTTTTCGGCAATGATGACTGGCCCCGTGCGATGGTTATTAAAATATCACGTCGTCGTCGTGGAAGACTGTGGAATATCAATTGTTCATCATAAGACACAATATAACTTATGAGTTATAAGTACTAGATAAAACTAGATTATTATAATGGTGCGTTTTGATTTGGCAGGATTTAACCACCACGGGTCAAGAAACGGTTTTCGTCAAAAAGCCACGTAATTACTCATAACACCAAACTTTTAACACGAAATATGAACAATTTGATGCAATATGTGAAGAAAACGAGTTTTCATCGTACACGAGACTAGAAAAACGCATTAATCTCGTCTGTATACATATAATAATATAATATTAGGTACTGTGTTCTGGTTTTATAATACTTTTCACGAACACATTCTAATGACGTTAAATCGACTAACATAACCGATGTCCAACTTCCTATAGTGTCACGTAGTACCTACTCTATATGCACGTACGGCTCTTCACAATAATGGAAGTCAATTGATAAAACCTATACGTACCTAGAATAATATGCGGTATGCAATAAATGCTTGTCATTGTCCCTCAGGACCGCATTGCCGTAAAAGATTGTTTTTTCCGTGGTAGGTATAAGACAGTCGGTAATAATGGCCGAATTAAAAAACGGCATGGACAAAATGGCAAAATATAAAAATATCCAAAGTTAAAAATTTGATATTTTTTCCATGACCATTATTATCAACTATTATTGTTATTTATTATTATCATCATAAATTATAGTCAAAGCACAATAGGTAATAAAAATAAAATATAATTTCAAATATAGTTGAACATTCCTCTAATATGACCACGGAAAAATTTTTCACGGCCATATTTTACTATGGCCACTTTGCTATACCGCCACTTTTTGTTTGGCCACTATTACCTAGACTCCAGATATACATTCGGCGTCATGCTTTTCATAAACATTATACGTTAGAGTTTGAACACAATCAAATGAAATCAATTAGGTGTACGATTTGAATCGGTGCTGACAACAGTACGGAAATGGAGTGCACGACGGTATTTTTTTCCGGCCGGACGTTATCGTTGTACTGAAAAGGACCAGGATTATTATAATATTATAACATGATCAGCGCATATACTACGAGCAGTATACTACAAGTGCTTTTTTGTTTTTTTTTTAAAAGAATATTCACTGCATGAGGTTCATTTACAAAATAAAAAAAATTCTCTGTGATGAGCATAAATGACCCGACTAGAAGACATTAAATATACTGTTCTTCTAAATTTGAAAAATGAGTTCTGGTTTCTCTGGTTTTTCACTTTTAAATCAATTAATGTTTTTGCATTTATCACCACGAGTAACATTAATTGTATGCTAGCTACTGTATTATTTTTGACATTTTTTTGCATTTTGTTTTGGTTTAAAAAAAATTATTTTTGAAACGGCACCACAAACGCGGTTCAGCCTTTTTCGGATCGCTTATATTCATGTATATCTACGCGCTGTCCGATTACGATTTTTCAAGCAAATTCTCGGGTTTTCGGGCCCAGTAATGGATTTCCGCGATCTGTCGAGACTCGACAAACGCAATAATTTACTTATAATAATGCGTCCGCGTAATTATATACATATATATATTTAAAAGAAAACAACAGCGAATTCGCTACCATTTACGGCGTGGCCAATGTCAAGGGTTCTACACGGGAGTCGAGCAATTATATTACAAATATACACATATATTGTTGTTATTGGCGCTCGTGTACCTACAGCAAATACGTACACACATTTCTTTCGTAATATTCGTGTAGATTTATTTTTTTTCGACTTTTTTTTTTCTTCTTTTTGATCGATCGCGCCACACGGTCCAAGGGCAATGAGACGGTATATTATATTTATCGACGGCGGCCCGCGGCAATACGGCGATGACGACCGCCTTTTCGTTGCCACCACACCGCCGTGACAATCGCCACAAAGTACAATAAAATTAATATCGTGTAGATATCAATTATTATTTTGTATTAGGCGACTTTGAACAAGCGCGTAAATTGTTTTCGAATTCCAGATCTAATCAAAAAAAAATCAGACTACCAGTTTCAGTTACCATTGTGTTGTTTGATGTTTAATGAGTTGATTTGCTGGCCAAGAAAGGGAGACACATGAGAAATAAACGACAATAGCGACGCTCCCAATAAAAACAAGATATAAAGTACGAAAAGATACCACAAGACTTTCCGATGGTTCGGACACGCAAAAAGAAAAGAGGCGATGACGAGTAAAGTTAAGGCAGTGCCTAAGTATATTGATGTTTCATGAAATGACGGACCGAGAGGAAAATATACATGACCAAAAAAATTGGATAACACTGACGGACAGAGTTATGAGGCCAACATTTTACGACCATCTATATTCGTTACCAAATATTTAGTATATCCCTACTTGTGTGTCGAAAAAACCACCAGTCCTAAATATGACCATGTACTGGCCGAAAGGCAATAGATACGTCCCAAAAATATGGTCTAAAATCCAAATAATACATCAACCGTTTTCACTTCGGAATGCGATTGAAAATCGCTATTAGACCGGCTAGCGAGCACCATACGTGTACCGTGTACATATACCGGGGAAACGAAATCGTAAACGCTCCGCATAGTGTTTCTAAAATTTTCTTTATTGGCTTTTCTTCTCACTCGCGACACGATGACGTATATACAGTCGGCAATAAAGTCTCGATTTGTGCTTTGCGACAGTTGACTCGGTCGTAAAAATATGTTGTAGGTGTAAAACACCGTGGGTAAATAAAACAACAGTAGACGGTCAACTGTCCTATAAGAGGCACAAAAACAGCAGCAATATTATTGGAGGGTGAATTGTATTGATTTACTCGTAAAATATTTGATTATAAAACCACATATTATGCGTAATATACAGTATAGTACAGATTTTTGTGATTAATTACAAATATCTTTTAAATTATAATCGCATATATTTGTCTCAAATCATTCGTAGGTGAAACAAACATTACACGATTTATCAACCAAAATTTGACCTTTTGGCGTATGCCAAGTTTCAGATTTACTCGTATTACTTGAGGGTCGATTCTTGAACTCACACGATATGAAATCGAAAATTTTTAGTATACGACGATATAGTCATTTGATATTGTCGGGCGTGTCTGTTTTCTCTTGTCTGTTTATGCTTATTCTAAAACATCACAGACAGCGCAGTAACGATGAGCCTTTTCATTGCTTTACGAGTCAATCTGTGAATATTGCGCTTCGCCGTCCAGTACGAATCTCTGAAGTTGAATAATTTATATGATAATAACAGAATATTATACGACTGCGTATGTCGGTTAAAAGTGCTATCATCAAAAAGTTTCTGAACAATGTAGGGATTTTGAAAAAAAAATCACCGTGCATCTACAGTGGCCAGGCGGAACGGTTGACCAGGAAAAATTGCGAAGACTGCGATTTATCGTTGTATATTATGCTGTACGAGTAAAAAAGATTTTTTTTTTTTTTAGTTTTTCAACTTTTAGCTTTCTCCTCGCTACCGTATCGTAATATACGGTAATTATTAAGGGCCGTTCGGCGATGATGAACAGCATCGGGCACAATAGACGTCAATTAATCCGTACCTCACCCCATTATCACCACCGTCGAGAACCGCATACGAAAATAATATTAAACCCGAAAACCAGCAAATTTATTACGCGTGTGCATTATTGTTCACAGATTTTCATTGTACCGCCGATCATTTATTTTTATTTTTTTATTTGAGGACCACACACGCGCAGCGATTTTTACCAAACTATTATCGTTTAGAAGGAAATTCCTGTTACCAATTTTAAAGAAATTGAGATTATGTATACAACGATGACGTTATTTTATCAATATTTGAATTTTTAAGAGAGAAGTAGGTACGCTACTGATTGTAAATGGGCTTACGGCACTTAGTATGCATTAAATACCTAATAAGCAATTCACTAAAATACAATTTATCAACGAAAGTTGTCCGAGTTTACAATATACTTTATTAAAAAGCAAATGACAACTGTTAAACGTGCACGAGGTAATACCTAATAACATATTGTTACCAAGACGATTATATATTTAAACAAATAAACTCTTATTTATCCGTAAAATAAATATGAAAAAAAAAATGCAAAAAATTTTGTCAGGACTAGGACTTGACCTGAGTCTTCGCAGAACAGCTCGTGCCATTCCTAACGCGTTAGACCGCTCGTCCACATCCTGAACTGATAAGGCCGTTGATTTTAATATTGTTTAAATTATTGATAATTTATTACTTAAATACGTTTGAAAAATATCGAAAATGACGATAATATTGGTAAATAATTTTAATAGTATTAATTTATTACATTAAAATTTAACAATTTAAAGTCTAAATGATAAATTATTTTTTTTTTTTTTTTTTTTTTTTCAGAAAATTATGTTTAATGAAACTGTCTGATAAATTAATTAAGTGACCATAGAAAGTTTAAGACACAATCGACTTTTGAAACGTAGACATACTACACGAGTACAAGAACACGGAACTTAATTGAAAGGACAAGCAAAAAATACTAGCTGAAATACGGTACAAAAGACTGAACTGGTTGGATCACGGTATAAGGGATTATAACCATATGGAAATCATACACTAACTAGACCCCTCGGTGAAACAAACCGAAGAGGAAAGCCAAAAAAAATATAGAATGACCAAATGTAAATAAAACTAAACCAACTAAGTATAGATAATCCTGGTGAAGTAGCTCGAGAAAGAGAGAGATGAAAAAAAGTTAGTTTTGCAACAATAGATGCTTTGGAAGCTAAAGACGAAGATATTATTTGCAACATGGAGATGCTACTGTTGTTGGTCTGATTGGGTATCGATAACTGCTAATGAT